CATAGCAACGAGGCTGTGCCAACTGTATCTCTACAACTATATTCGTTATGGAATGACAGATTCCCAATCACGGTAATGGCGCCAAAGCTTGGTGCCCCTCGGTTATGATGAGGATGACTGCTAGCTCCAGTCGCATGATGCCGTTAACACAAGTATGATTATTGCGGGGACTGCTTCTACCTGATTGACGCTGAACCCAATCGGCATAATGGATGTAACACAATTTTGCAGTTTTATTTGTTTTGATAACAATGTTAAATGGTGGCTGTAGAATTGATTTAAGAAATCTGAGACATTGCTTATTATACTTAACGTTCCAGAGTGTATACTATGCTGCAAGACTTCAACTTCATCCAAAAAGTTCAGTGACCTTGTTTCATTTTAATTTCGGAAGCAGATGTGCTCATTTTTAATCTTGTCCCATTTGGTATTATCATTTCAACATCCAATTTCTACTAAGATGATATATTGCTTTTAGAGGTCCCACATTCATTACAACTAGTATTCATACCCGTGTGCTGCGCGAACAATAATAAATATAATTTTTCATAAGAAAATATAACATGAAAATTCGGTAGATACAAAGGAGCATGGAAATGTTATTATTTTTGGAACATATAACTGTAATTGATATTCCTACAATGAAGTCATAAGGACACACAATAAAGAAATGTACAATTATTTCATGAAGTCCAATAATATTCTTTATAGCCTCGGAAAAGCAAGTTTGTGTATACCAGCTAAAGTGCCACAAACAAAGGTTTCTAATACCCTGAAAATTCAGAAAGACAACAAAGCCATAGTCTTTCAAGATTGAAAAAATCAGACTCATACAGGAAAATAATTATTTCCTACTTGCACAACCTTGACATCCACAATGTACATACTTTATTACAACAACTTTCCTAAGGTGCGTGGGACACGATATGCACAAGTAGTTGCAAAAATTGTGATCCCGAGGTTGTATGCAGTGCAAGCAACAGAGATGCTCATATCCAGGCTGCATGTCAAAATACAGGAAATAGGAAAGAATTGAATATAAGAAACAAACAGATTTTGTAAGTTGTGGAGGATGTTGGATTCAAACACCTTTTTCAACCTTTCAATCAGGTTGCGATCTGCATAATGTTGCTCCAAATAGACCTCATACGCTCTTTTAGATATTTCATTCCTTCCATATTAAAGGTCAAACATATTTGACCCTCTGATGTGCAATCGTGAATATGAGCCAGAATGCTTCACACTTTCTTTTACCATCATTAGGGTCATTGCAATTTTTCAAAACCCAAAAAATAGAAGTTAAGGTCTGGAAATTTTAATCAATAATGTAAGACAAAAAATATTACTCAGTTTCACCTTGCATCAAATTACTCACCTTCTCTCATTCAAGCATACAACTCGTGTAGGATAGGCTCAATCAACTACCAACCCTCGGGTATTTATATGTTTTTTCTTGACCCTAGGTATTTTTCAGCTGCAAATTAAAAAAAAAACTTATTTCATGTGCAAGAAGATGAACAGAGTAGTAACAGTTCCCATACCCACTACATGCACATAAATATAATTTATAGGTAAGTTAAGATTTTATAGTCAGTAACCAGCACCTTCTGGGTTTCTATTACTACAAAAGTACATATTTTGTACGTAAGCATTTGAATGTTTCCATCAAGGATAGAGTTTTATCCTGAAATATCTATGATTCTTTTGAATCCAGACTGCCCTATAATTACACAAAGGAGTGATATTGGTAGGCTTTCTCTGGCTCTTCCTAAACCTCCATCCCTGCCACCTGCTTAAACCTGATTAAGGGGGATGGTATAATAAGATGTAATTATTTATACAAGTCTAGAATTATGATCAGTAATTTCAACAGCTTATAAAGCTACCAATAACAGTAGCTTCTTAACTACTCATAAGAGGAAAAGAATATAGAACCATAAAAGAGATATTGTCGTTATGGAAATGCAACATCCACACCCTTCACCGAATAAAGAAAATGACATAAGTAATTGCATAGTTACTTTGCCATAATACTCTTTTCTAGATTGAACATCTGGAGCACTATAAGTCGGAGTAGCCTTGAATACAACAGGGTCGACAATAATTGCAGGAGGAAAACTATTTTTGCCTTATTTTTTCCTAGTGTAGAAATATAAATATATACAAATCAGTAGAATAGCATCAAACTTTGAGTATCCAATATCATATATCCTCAAGTGTGGAGCTACACTTTCATTAAGAAGGGTATTCTACAGCTTACTAATTTTTACTACCGGTATAGTACAATGGAGATAAAAGTGCCTAAAAGGGGAAAGGTTGTAGTTCCCACATAACTTAGTATGTAGCCTGAAATGACAACAAATCAAACCAAATGATAGAAGCATTGCACATAGGGAACCAATGATTTGAAAAACATAAAAATTGTGGCCTTTTATAATCATAGAATTATGACAAAAGGCCTCAAATACTATTTCATTATCCTTCATAATAGTAGTATATGAGAAAAGTGATTATTGACAAAATAAAAAAAAATATACTTCATATTCGCTGAAGCTTTCTGCATTGGAAATGCACCTAACATGTTTTTGCCAACTGCATAGTCAATAACAATGGCAAGATAAATGAGAGTTAATATCACCTGTATCGCACAAAGCAAAAGAAAAATAGTTAGGCAAACAAATCGTTAGCTTTTTCTTGCCATTATCAAAACAAACCAACTTAAATACAGCAGTGCCATCAAAATTAACAATATATAATATCAGAAAATAGTCTCATTGAAGCAAAAAGAGATTGATGAATAATGATCTCCCTTGCTGCATTCTCATCAGTCTGCAACAAATGGTGGCATATAACTTTTTCAAAGACTCAATGACGCGAAGTGTACAATATTCATCTAATGCAATAAAACCAAAGTAATTACATGAACCTAAGTTTAGGCACCTTGATACATTAGTGGTCCGCCTGTATATTATGCAAGTCCATGAAATAACAGAGTATATATTAAAACATTCCTAAATTATTGAATATAATATATGAGCAACATTCTAGTAGCACATGAAGAACCAATCAACAGAGAAGCCAACAATATTATCAAAGCCGAAAAGCGCAAAAAAACTCTAAGTTCTATTGGGGGTTTAAGCTCAAAGTGCAAATGGAGAAAAATCACAAATCTGTATGTATGGTCCAAGACTTATCTATAAGAAAGAATATCAAATATATGAACAAAGAAATTGAAGAAATTTTAATGCCAATTACCATTCCCAAAGGTAAGTTTAAAAGAATGAAGGGGCTTATTTAAATTGTGATTTGTTTGTACTTCCAAGTTACTTCGAAGAACAAATAATGGTATACACTTGTTTTACTATGAATAACACGTGCCTTTGATTAGTTAGACCGTTTATAATCTATTAATTAATTTAAACATATAACTTAAGAGCTTACAATACTATCATTTAATAAATAGAAAGATAAGGCATGGAAAATTCCTCTTTCAGCCTTAAATTTCAGCAGTTAAAAAACCATATGACTTATAGATACATGTGTATCACTATAATTTTTAATAGTACTATAACAACATAGCTATTGTTTTTAGATAGTACTATTTAACATAAAGAATTTTCTGAAGCACCACCACAAAAATAAAAATCACGCATAACCATAGTTTTTCATTTTTAACAAACATCTACTACTTAAAAAATTGAACAGAAGCAAAAATAGCGCAACAAATAATAATTTTAATTTAACGATATTACAAATTATTCTCTAGCCAGTCCTTGAAGTGTAGGAGGTATGAGTATTTAACTTTATAACCTCATTATTTATGTGGAGCGCTAGTACAACGACACACAAGTTTGACATCTTTAAATTGTAACAGTAAGTTATAATAATATGCATTAGGTATTTATCAACGACTCATGTTATATAAATAAAGTTAACTGAAATAATAACCTTGCAATAATGGTAGCTCATTCAAATCCAGTAGATGATGATCTGTATGCATATGTGAAGCCGACAAACCATATTGCAAATTTTGTTCTTGTTGTGAATTTGAACATTGTGGCTCAGACTGAGATGATAAAATGTGCCACAACTCTTTTGATAGAAGGCATTTACAGAAAAGAATATCAGAAGCGTGAAAATAGTTATCTATGCATTTGGTAGATTGTTGTAACAACCGATGGCTAATAACAATTCCTTTCTAGAATATGATCAAAGAAGAAACAAAATGTAAACTCAATGCCAAAAATAAGAACACTATTACTCTCTAATTATTGTATAAGTTCTAATTAATAAAGTTAAGCAATGACGACAACTTCAAGACATCACATCCTATAATATTGCTAGTTTAGTTTTAAGAAAAATCAAATATCACAACATATATCACTCCTATTGCTAGTTTAGTTAAAAAAAAATCAAATATCACAACATATATCACTCCTGCAACCAACTTCAATAAAATTTAAAAATAAAATTTTGCTTTTTTGAACTCAATTATATATAAAGCTTTAATTAATAAAGTTAAGCAATGATCACAACTTTAAGACATCACATTCGGTGAAATTGCTAGTTTAGTTAAAAAAATTTAAATACCACAACATATATCACTTCTGCAACCATAAAACATGTTCTTTTATACATGATTACATCATCCACAACTAGTGTAAACAAGTACAAGCCTAAAATATCTAAATCCCTATTGTAAACCATCTAATATGAAAATCTCAATATGTATCTCCCATCCTTGTACAGATCTTTTATATTTTCAAAGAATCTGTCTTTTTTCTCAAATACCTACCAGAGACATTTCTCGTTACTTCATCATGTGCTCTCTATAAGGTAATGAACATTGTGGAGATCCTTAGCAAAATATCCATCACTGCGACATCCCTAATTATATAGACTTTCACTCTTTCTAGAACTCTTGTAACATTGTGAGGTTCTAGATTCTGAGAAGCTGGAGGATAGGGCAAAGCGCGAGCTAGGAAACAAAAATGAAAGGCTCACATCTCAACCATGCAATGTGTTCATTTATATGTATTGCTATAGTTCAAGATCCATAAATAGATATTCTTGGACAAAATTGCTGGAACTCAGTCACAATATATATTACAAAAGCAAAAGAACAAATGCCATCACACAGAGTAGGCACGTCAGAAATATGAACTATCAAGCATCATTTGCAGGAAGCGCGTTTTCAATGTTTGATGGCATTAGTATGTTAAATCCATCTGCTGCAGTGGATATAACCATTCCTGGGATCTGAGAATGCCAGTGAAGTTCTTTCAAATCTTTCTGACCCTGTTAACAGTGCAAGAGATATGTCATAAGAATAAACATAAAGCAGATGAAGTTTGCTCTCATCAGTCAGGAATAGAGATATAATAACCTGGTGAACGAAAAGAAGTTGTGGGGGCAAATCTGTTGGGGCATTGACTTCCTCTTTCATTTTAGCTTTGAACTCTGCCTCCTCTTCCTCATCTCTTTCTAAAGAAAGGTCCCAGATACTGATAAATAGAGAAAGGAATCAAACAGCAGGTGATTCACACAGACAGATTACATCCATTGAGAAACATCCATACTTGTTAAGAAACAGATGTGGAGAGAGAAAGAGAGAGAGAGAACTGTTCCACATTCTCATTAGAGTTGTGTCAGTAGGTTTCTTACGTCAGCTGATTGTCTGATGATGAAACTGCCACAGTTGAGGGTTCATGGGGACTCCATTCGACAGAAGTGATGGGATGTTTGTGATATTCAAAGTGTGCCACGACAGCGTCTCCTTCCTGTCAAAGTGAACAAAAGAATAAGCATTCATTCTTTAACTTGTATTAGCAAGTTGATATGAGACCACCTATACTCTCCTTTCTCCTTCTTAAACCACGGTTCTCCCACAATGAAGGNACACACACACACATAAAGTAGTTAAATCTTTAATTGGATAATCAGAATTTATAGAGTATTAGATAATCATACATATATGTAACATTGTTGCCAACAGCCACAAATTTAAGGACCACTAGTAGAATACCTTGAGTAATCTAAGATCTCGAATAGAAAATGTCCCATCATCACTTCCAGATGCAAGCATACAGCTAGCCAACCTGGTGAAAAAGCAATCACATGACTATACAACCAATTAACCATAACTATAGATGTAGAAAGTAAAACAGAAAAGTCAAATACCTGTTCCATGATATAACATTGACATCTGCCTTATGTGCCTTTATAGTGGTAGCAGGAGATTTACCCACACGGATGTCCCATATTCCAATACTGCCATCAACTGAGCAAGAGGCAAATACAGAAGGTTCTGTAGGGCTCCACTGCATCAGAGGAAGTTGGAAAAAGTGCTTTAGAGTTTAGCAAACGTAATAAGATGTCCAAATTGTAAGAGCTTCCCCCAACTGAAGATGAGATAAGTAGATGCAAGCCCAATATGAGCACCTGAAGATCTTCAACACTTGCACTGTGTCCAACAAAAGGATTAGCATCAATATTCCATGTTGTACCAGATGTTGGCTCCCATAAATGGATACAGTTCTTGCAGTCCCCTGAGGAGACGAGTAACAGCATCAAATGTTAGATTACTTTATGACCATGGCATATCATCAGAGAACGTATTAATAATTATGTGCAAAGATGATAGGATTAGTTTATGCCATACCTGACACGAGCCTTCCCGGAACAAGAGGACTCCAATCTATAGCATAGCCTTCATCTTTATGTCCGCCAAACTTAACTAAGGGTGATTGATTAGAGACTGCAGAAGCCCCATGGCTAAGATCACTCTCTGATTCTGCCAAAGCATTTAAATGCGAGCTAAAATCCCAAACCTGCCAGTGCATTAAACCTAATATATGAAAGGAGAAATCATACTAAGGTCTGGATATATTAAGCTTGCCAAGCAGTGGAACAAGCTTTTCTTAAAGAGTAGTCTTGATAACTATTACAATCAACAAGAATTGGTATATAAATCTCTTGTTTGAGAAGTATTGTAGTTTCCGCTTGTTCCTTCGTTCTCGAGGGAGGGTACTGTATCTGCCAGATCACTGATAGAGAACTATATAACCCAGCAGAACATGATCAAATATAGAAGTATACCATTTTGAGATTTAAAATTGTATCTCACATTTTCTCTAGTTTTCTATAAATGTTTTCATATGTTTGCACCATGGAGAGTGATGCCAGACAGTTAAAACCAACATAAATACTCTCAAAACAACTTAAAGAATAAAATTATCGACTTACAAATTCAATTATTGAATTTTTATTGGGAAGAGTCTGACCTGAACATGACCAGTATCACCCCAAGAAGCAACTATATGAGGGTTTTGCGTCATAGCACGGATGCGATTAACACATCCTTCATGAAACACCTTGCGTAGCTGCAGATTTTTAAGAAAAGAAGTGTTAGCAGGAAAATGTGACGTATACACTGCCATACTAACTATATAGATGATGTGAAGAAATAAAAGTACCTGTAGAACAGGTGTCCCTGATCCAGCTTCCTCTTCTTCTTCATCACTGTCACTACTATCGCTGTCCATATCAGTCTCATCACCTTTCTTGTCTGGCACCATGTCCCGCCTTTTTCCAGATATATTAGATAACTTAAAAATTCCAATCGAGTTCCAAGAACTTTTCTCTGCCTGTAAGAATGAGAAAAGCATGTTTCATGAGCTTTAATCTACTCTACCTTAAATGGTGAGAGCAAATTTTGGGTTTTCACTTTCGTTTTCCCTACTAATTGAAAAAGGAATTCTATACTATACACGGAGAAAAAGTGACATTAGTAAACAATTATGTTTTCTTTATAAGGCTGACATTAGTAAGCAAATAATGTCCTATAATCAACTATCTCTGTGTTACAAAAAAATCTGAAAAATGAATGGGAAGACAGTACTTAAAACAACAGGAATTTCTGCAATGTACAAAAAATTAGTACTAATTACTTTTGCTTATAAAAAAAAGTTTCTTCAACGTATAGAAATGATCCTCCTTCTCAGAATATAAGAAAAGCTAAATGCCAGAGCAGTTCTTGGCAGGATATAAATCAGCATTCATGATATTTCTATTTCTATCCAACAACAACTCAAGCAATAAAAAAGAGCTTACTTGTGTTCCTGCTACACAATATACAGTATGTGGAAACTCAGTTCGCACCAAGCCGAGCGAATCACGCAACACATCAAAACTGCCCCATTCACAACCACAATAAATTGCATAAATATATCACATTTAAACAAAATATTATTAACATAACTAATATCAATAATTGGTACAGTTATTTTGTTTATTTATTATTACCTCAAGCAGGGCCAGCCAATATGGAAGGCATGAAGAGAGTTGTAAGCAGAAGGGTCACACTGAAGCTCTTCACCTTCCTCCAATTTGTCTACACCTGGTTGCCATACTTTTGCTGGCAAAGACGGTACTTCATTCGACGATCCTTCTCCTTTCTTTCCGCCCTGCTTTATTTATTTAAAGTTCAGATTTTTCTTTCATCAAAACTGATTACAAAACAAAGAATACAAAANCAAACTTTTTGAGATAAAAATCGCACCTTGTTCTTCCGTTTAGCTTTTTTAGGGTTCTTTAAGCTTCGAACCATCTTTAATTACGCTGAGAAACAGATGCAAAAACGAAGAGGAAGAAGGTAATGTGAACCAGAGAGTGACACTCCACTACAGGGGTTTAAGAACTAGGGTTTTTGTATTTGCTTTTCCCTTTTTCTTCGAATCTGAGAATTGGGCTCACAAATGCGAATTTGGTCGGGTTTTGGGCTGTTTTGGCTACTTTCGC